TAATAATAATGTGGACTTGTTTCAAGTGGATACTAAAAATGCACGTTTGATAAGAACAATATGGTGTCGAAAATCACCGAGTATGCCATTTTACGCATATCATACACTTTTACTCGGAAAAAGGAACGACAGAGAGAAGGAAAAGCCTACATAGTAATCTTAAACATGGTAATTATGTCAAGGATCGTATAATCATATTATTTTGAGGAAAATTAAATTTCATCGCCCTTGAAGCACCGTGATTGTGAGACCATTGACCGACAACTCGAGTTGTTGCCCAGTCGGCTGAGCCGACCCTACATGAGTTCGGCTCCATTTCTCGGCAAAGACCGGCTGCTGAGGTGGCGGCAGGTCGACTATTTCACGACTCAGCATGGAAAGAACTGTTTGAACGGGCGGTCTATCTTGCGGGAATTCTTGAACACACAAAAGGGCAATATGAATACATCTCACAATCTCTCCTTGGAAAACCGGAGTGGCTATCGTTTGATCAGCGAAAGCCGTGCCATTGTTTTCATTCCACAACTTCCATGCCTGAAATGTGACATTATGCAAGAACAATAAATGAATCATACAAATATATATATACAGCTTAAGTTTGATACAAATAAACTTACACATCCTAAAAGGCTCAAAGACCATTCTTGATTGTAATAATGTGTGTTCTTTTTCCCGCTTACGATCTCCAACATCAGCACCCCAAAACTGTAAACGTCGGATTTCTCGGAAAATCGGCCGTCCATTGCATATTCTGGTGCCATATACCCACTGCAACATAATCGTAAAAAATACGTGTCATGATCATAACATTTGTCGAAAGATTATTTTATTTATTACATGGCTGAGTTTTAAACAAAATCACTCACTATGTTCCCACTACTCTAGCTGTATTTGCCTGGTCTTGGTTGCCCCCGAAAATTCTTGCCATGCCAAAGTCCGAGATTTTGGGGTTATAGTCCTCATCGAGCAACACATTACTCGGCTTCAGGTCACGGTGGATGATTTTCAGTCTCGAGTCCATGTGAAGGTATAAGAGCCCTCTTCCGGTACCTTCCATGATACTGAAACGTTTTTTCCAGTCAAGAACCTTTTGCGATGGGTGTGCCGGATCTACATTTCACAAAAGGTAAAAACTTAGTTTCAAGCACAAATATTTTCATATGCTTGTTCATGGATTCATATGCGACCGACCAAATAGGCAAATGTCCAAGCTGTTATTAGGCATGTACTCATATACGAGCATCTTCTCTTCTCGTTCGACACAACATCCAACCAATTTGACGAGGTTCCTATGTTGGACTTTGGAAATCACAATTGCCTCATTCATGAATTCTTCCATCCCCTGCCCTGAAGCTGCCGAAAGTCTCTTCACAGCAATTTCTTTCCCGTTGCCCAGTCTTCCCTGCAAAACAAACACGGCATATCAAATTGTAACACCACACATGGGAAAATAAATACATACGAAAATTTTAAAGAATGTACCTTGTAAACATATCCAAAACCTCCCCTGCCTAGCATATTCTCCTCATGGAATTGGTTAGTTGCGTCAGCAAGGGTCTTGAAAGTGAACAACGGCAGCTCTTGAATGTTGACTTTCTCGGATTCATCCTTGAGCACAATAGCACTCGAGTCCAATTGCAGCGTCTCCAATGCTTTTTGGTCTTTTATTCTTCTTCCTGCAAAATGTGTGTAACTTAGTACGTTAAACAAATCAAACTTTTCGACTTGGTCGTGTTTCTATATATATATATATATTTTTTTCCTTTTCTCATACCTTTTCTCTTAGCCATCCAGCACAAAGCAATGATGATGCAAATGGATAGAAACACAAAACCCACCACTACTGGTAAGATGATAACCAGCCTTCTGTCATTGTTGTTNTCCCAAAATCACTTTTAAGTTACGATAATATCATCGGAAGGCAAAAGATCGTCAAACAACCTAATTCCGAAGCCGCCAGCCGAAGATAAAAATCCGGACCAACCCCATTAAACTGCTGCATGTCGACCAATGTCTCCCTCCAAAACATGCACCCGATATTCACGTCGTGCGAGTAACCCAAACACCAACAGCTCCTCAAACACCTATCCCTGCACTCCTCCACTGCCCGACCCTCAAACCTCTCCGCAAAATCGGGCACCTTCACAAAGGGCAGCCTCAAGAAACCATCATTATCCCCACACTCGAGCCCTGTCCTCCTCGCGCACCCACCCGTCCAATTCCCTCTCCCCCACTCGTCCCTATCGACGGGCTCGAAGCCCGGAAGGCAATAACAAACGGGCCGGCGCAAAGGGTCGCAAAGCCCGAAGGGCCCGCACGTCCCGTACACGTCGCACACCTGTCGTGGGGCCACCCACATCGCATCCCAACTCCTCGTCTGCTCGTCCCACAGCAACTTCACGAGCGTGCCGCTCGTGTTCAGCTCGATTTTCATCAAGAACCTTTTCGGAGGGGCCATGAAGTAAATATTTCCCGATTCGTTCCCGACTTGAAAACCGTCGAGGTAAGGCGAGTACATGTCCTGTATGCCGATTAGAAGGATACCGTTCCACGGCCCGCTTCTGTAGTGCGGCCGCTCGTTTATCCATGTGAAAATCTGCGAGACCCCAGAATTAGTCGCTTGGAGGCCCGTCGTGAAGTTCCCGTCTTTCGGGTCGGACGGGCTTCTCCACGACGATATCCGGACCCTGCGGCCCGTGATGGTGTCGTGGGTGAGGTTCATGGTGGGGACGAACGTGTTGGACGGGTGGGAAAACGAGTCCCATATGATTGTGCCACTCGGGCTTTCGCGGAGTACGAGGTTTCCGGAGTCGAGGATTTGGGCGGTCGAGGTGGCGGGGGATGGTGACGTGGCGTTGGTCGACCAGATGGTTTGGTTTTGGGTGTCGGTTAGGACGAGGTTGCCGTCGTTTGCGTCGATGGTGAATGTTCCAGAAGAGTCGGTCAAGGGATTGTCGCGGTTGGCGGCCCATAAGACGGTTTTCTCGTGGACCGCGTAGAATACGGCGAGGTAGCGGTGGGTGGTGTTTTCGGGGGTGAAAAAACCGAGCTTGAACGTGCGGCCGGTCGAGATCAAGAAATCGGGGTCTCGAATGATGGGGGAGCTTGAGGTTATGGTGTCTGTTTCTGAACAGAGGCCATGGAAAGAAAGGAGGAAGAGAGTGATGAAGAAAAAGGAGTTGAGGATAGTGTTCTTGGTGTGGATCATGATATTTTTGTGTAGTTTTAAGATAGTTGTCACACTTGTATTGTATGTAACTAAAAGTGCAGGGGTGATTTATAAGTGTGAAGATGGTTATTTGTTTGGTTCCTAAAATGTGGTAATTTATATATGTAAGGTGGAATGTTGGGTGAGTTTGAGTCAATCAAAGTCAACGTCAAGAGGGTGAGTCAACGTTGAAATTGTAAAATTTTGTTGTACCTTTTCCATTGTGGACGACTCAACCTTGTTGACAAGTCACACTAACTTGTAAGAAGTGTTCAATTGAAAATTTGAAGATGACTATGTCGTTTTTTCCTATTTTCTTTTGATGTTGTTTTTCTATATTTCCGCGTATGATCAAGTTGTCGTTTGGGACTTTGGGCAAATGAATTATTTCTGTATATGTCTAAAATTTTATATGTTATAAAATTATTTAACACTTAGCAGAGATAGCTAACTATTAACAGGGGTCGACGCAGACATTTAAAAGTANTTACGAGATAATTTTAAACTATTATTACAATTATAAAGGTATCTAAAACAAATAATACATAAAAAATGCGCAACGAATAAGAAATAACATTTAAGATGCTATTTTATCAAAATTATAAAAATTTTAAATTAAAAATTACATCAATTTTAAAAATTCCCAAATACAAATTTAGGAATATAAAAATTAGAAAACAATTAAATAAAATATAAATAAAACATACCTTTTGAAATAAAAATTGATAGTCAATTGAAGAAGTATAAGTTAAAATCACTTTAATTATTAAAAGATTTATTTTATTTTTTTTCTTGTAATTGCACCCAAATTTTGTAGGTGTGTGAGAGGAAGTAAAAGTAGAGGAATGTGAACAGAGTATGAGATGAGTTACGGCTGTTTGGTGGGAGTGAGGAAAAAAACTTGGCTTGTTGTACTAGAGGGTTCATAAGAATAAGAAAAGTTGACACAATTAAAATATAGGAGTATATTACTAGGAACCAAAACGCCGTGCAACGCACGGCGGGCCCACGATATATTTATATGTTTTGGTGATATATTGTTTAATTGAATAAGTATAGAACAAATTTAATAGTAAATAATTTTTAGTATCTCATGTATAATAAAAGCATCTCATTTAATAAGTTTTAATATAACTAATTCACGTAGTGCTGAACACATAGAAGTAATAGATATTTTTTTTCCGAAGAAATAATAGTGTTATGTGTTCATATTTTGAACACTTTTGTTTCACAGAACAAGAGCTACAATTGTTTTAGAAAAAAAAAAAATCATTGGCTAATAAAGTAGTTATACACATCAAAAGCAACAATTTCATTAACAAAAGCCTTGTCTTTTAATATAGTAGTTATATACAACAAAAGTAGCAAATCATTGTTCAAAACCATGATCCGTCGCTAATAGAATACATAACAACCTAAGTTCTGAACCCAAGGCATCATTAGCGTAGCAAGAAAAGTATATACAACAAAACAAGGATACAGTTCACACAAAAAGCAAAACAATATGGTTTTCAAAAGCTGTCATCCTTACCATTGACATTCAATTTTCATTCATTTTTTTCTCTTGGTTTTTTGTGGGTTGCTGATGTGATTTCCTTGTTATGAATTGATGAAATAGATGATTCTTTGGTCTGTGGCTGCTTTAAGGTGATAGTGGTTGTCTGATTTGTTTCCATTGCATCACTTTTGCAGCTGGTTTTAAATTATCTGTTTCTTCCTTCATCTTTTGAGCAATTGTTTCCAAGATTATGCTTGCAGTTGGACTGAAGAACTGTTTATCTGCCTTGGGGTCAATGGTTTGAACTGAAGAGCTGCCCGACTCTATGTTGGAAATTGACTTTTCTTTGGAAATGCATTTTTTTTGATTGTCAGGGGTTATTATTGAGGATCTTGCTTGAACTTCATCCACTATGTACAACTTGACAATAGTGTATCGATCGGAATTGGTCAATTGAGTACTTAAACTAACAATACACATATTTGGAGCTGATGTGCAAACAATGACATACTGAAAACTGAAATAGTCACTCAATTATTATTGAAGACCAAAATTNGTAAAAAAAAAAAAAAAAAAAAAATGGAATGAGAATTTTGTTAAAACTTCAAATTGATATATATTGTGTATTAACTAAATGTGTGGAAACCATAAATGTGGTCTGTTAAGTAATTCTCAGTTGCTCAAAATATAAAATGGAATAAAACTAAGAAATGTGCTTATTCCATGCAACAAGTTAAACGATTCACTTGTAACAGATAGTTGCTAAGGAAAAAAAATATAATGCCATATGAATGCAATTTTGCAGAATATGTACGCTGGCACAATGAAATGATTAATCACAACTCAGTTTTCGACTAATGAGTTTTTTGATTTTGTAAATAAACAAAAAAAACCTAAGAAGTGTTCAAATGTTGCCAGAAGAATTTAAGAAAATATATCACATTTTAACGTTTAAATCAGTTTTCACACAACGCAAATATGAGCTTAAGAGTACCAACATATTGTTTGGACCTCAGAATTGGATTAAGGGTCTGTAATTAAAGAACTAAGTGCAACTTACATGGTAGGAAAATATGTAATACAGTGCAGACTAAAGGAAGTTGCAAAGGCAGTTGCAAACCTGCTAGAGCGGTAGTAGGACAGATCAAAGGTCATCAATGATCTACAAAATAGAAAGCTTATTTAAGTATCACAAATTTAAGATCA